GGGGATGTGTCACTCAATGATTTCCTGAATTCAGAGGCAATAAACAGAACAGGAAGTGGCTCTCGGACCCACTCAGCCTGAAACCGGCCGCGGAGGTGGGGCGGCCTCCCTCCTGCCCCCTCCCTGAGCCAAGCTCACTGGGCCACCAGTCCCGGGCCTGAGAGATGATGTCGGGGATGTGGCCAGGCCCTCTGCCCAAGCCGTCCCTCAGCACCCAGGGGACCTGAGGAAGCCTTCTGAGGATGACGGGTGGGAGCCATGAGCCTCACAGCCTGGCAACCCTGACAGAGGGAGAGTAAAGTGGCCCCATCCTAGTGGGTGGGGACAAGAGAACAAGAGATAAGAGACTCAGTTTGGGTTGGGTCCAGTCTCTTCCCAGGACGAGGATGAAGGATGAGCTCCCCGAAGTCGGGAGCAGGGCAGGGCAGAGGAGCAGGTGGGAGAGCAGCCCTCCCACCGTACCCCATCCCAAAACAAATCACTGCAAAGTACTTGCCCAAGACTCCTGAAATCTCAAGGCTTAACCTCCATTCTCCAGGGGAGGCATTTTTTAGAGAGATTTTTGCTATAGGGTACATGTGCTTGTTGGAGAGACAGAAAGCGGCAGATTACCCCCCCAAGGGGGATGGCCACACTGCAAACCCTTCTCCTCCATTCTTCTCTTGGGATCATTGGCACAAACACACACACCCAGTGTGAGTTTGAAGCCACCGGGTCCGGGACTTGAACCACAGTCAGCCATGTAGGAGTCCAGAGACGTAGCCATTATGTCATCTCCTGGTTCCCTGGGGAGGCATTTTAACCCTCATTTTATAGATGTGGAAACTGAGGCTCAGAGTGGAATGTGTAACAAAGCCTGGCCTCTCCCCATGCCTTTACTCCTGCCCCTCCCAGAGGAGGGGAGGTGTGGTCCTGGCAGCAGCAGGGGGCCTCTGGAGGTCCCACAGACAGCAGCCCCTCCTACTGCCTGGGCCAGGCCGCTCTGCTGCTTATCAGCCACAGGGCTCCATGACACAATCCCGCTCTGATCTCCTGCCCAGCCGGGCCTCCGCCCCCACCCCACCCCTGGACCCCGTTCCCATTTCCTCCCTTTCTGGGTGGGACCCGCGTCTGGCCCCAGCATCACAGTGGGCTGTCAGGAGGGTCGGCTGTCGAGGTCCCTCCTGCAGCCACCCTGGCCAGCAGACTGGGACCGAGGTAGACAGAGGACGGTGGCCTGTGTTTCCCCACCCTAAGACTCTCCCTAAAGAGCCCACCTGCATCCCAGTCGAGCCCCTGGGAGGGGACCTGTAATGGCCTCAGTGTCCCCACTTACAGGGAACAGCTCAGCTCGATGAGGCCGCAGGGTGGAGAGGAGGGGCCGGCTCGAGTATGCACCCAGTTCCAGCCGCGTGACCCCAGCCTTCAGGCCTCAATTTCAACACCTCCAAAGTTGGGAGACATGCTGACAACCTGCGAGGTTACCAGCTCTAGGAAGCCCAGCAGGCACTGAAGAGATGCCCTTGTTACTGACACTATTGTAGCTGTTAGAAGCTCACAGGTGAGGGCCAGCAGGTGACGCGGAGGTTAAGGCGATGCATCCCACATGGCCAACCATGCAGTTCAAGTCCTGGCCGCTGCAGCTTGAAAAATCACACTGGACGCATGTGAGTGCGTGCCCATAATCATCCTGAGAGAGGTGGCTGGGAGAAAGGGACTGCTGCATGCAGGGATGGGGATGGGGCATAAGCCCTGGGGGCCGGGGGTGGAGAGAGGGTGATTTCTCGCCCCTCCCCATCTTTCTCTGGGAAGTACATGTGCCCTGCAGCAGCAGCAGCAGAAGAAGAAGAGAAAGAAAGAGAAAAAGGAAAAGAAAGTTGCAGGCGAAGCCCAGAGAGTGGAAGTCACTTTCCCAAGGCCTCACAGCAGATTAGAGGCATATTTCCAATAGCACGTGGCTGGCTGCCTCTGAGACTCCCAGACAGGGACTAGGAAACCCTGGGGTTCAGTCCTGTTTGTTTGTCAGAATTCCAAGAAAGAAGCTTCTTAGAGTCTCAGTTTCCCTGCCTAGAGGAGGCCCTCAGTCTCCCAGGAGCCTGAACGGGCTGGGACTGGGAGTTGGGGAGGAGTGGGGGGCAGGGGGGGGACAGAGAGCCTGCCGTGTCCCCTGGAACAAGGAATCCGGGCTGGAGCAGGGCGCACTCCAGGGCTCCCTGCCCTGCGGTCTCCAACGCTCGCCGATCTCGGCTCCAAGCCGCAGGCAGCAGCGCCCCCCACTGCCCAGCACGTAGCAGGCACCATGGCCAGGGCCTCAGGCCAACCCGCAGCCAGTGCCTCCCTGGGGCCAGGCGGGGAGGGATTTGGGGACTTGAGGAAGCGAGCGCCGAGTCGGAGGCTCTGGAAAGAGGGTGGGCAGAGGCCATCGGCCCAGGCAGAAGACGCAGGCAGGGCAGAGAGGGTCCTACAGGGGCCTGTGCCCTGTCCGACAGCTCTCGGGGAGGAATGCCCTGAGGACCTGCCACAAGAGGGCGCCAGGACCCCGCGAAGCGGGCAGGGGGCTGGAGCCTCTGTCCAGCCACCGGAGGAGAGGAGAAAGAGGCGGGAGGCCTTTCTATCCAGTCCTCACCACAAGTTTGCAAGATGGGATTTATGACCTCCATCTTTCAGAAGGGCAAACCAAGGCCCAGAGAGGTTATATACCTCACCCAAGGTCACAGAGCAAGAAGCAGGCAGAGCAGGGAGTCCAGCAAACCCAGGGACTCCTGGCTGCAGAATCCGGACTAACAGACAACTCTTTTTAAGTTTTTGCCATAGGGCACTCACACTCACCAGAAAGAGACAGAGAGGACAGAGAGAGGGACAGTGAGAAATCGCCCCCCAGCGAGGATGGCCACAATCCCTTCTCCATTCTCCTCTCGGGATTTGGGGCATGGACATATACCCAGTGTGATTTTCAAGCCACTGGGTCTGGGAGTCAGACCGCAGTCTCCCAGTGCGAATCCCACACCTTAATCACCACACTGCCTGAGCCCCCAAGCCCCCCACTCTGAACCAGAGTGCCAGGTGATCTCAGCACCCCAACCCAGGACAGACCTTGGGGGCAGTTTTGCACCCTCCTAGAAGCCTCTTCCCAGTCCTCAGGAACTGCAGACGACAAGATCGGGGTCAAGATGCTTCTGTGATTACTGTGCCAAGCCCCCACCAACCCCTCGCCACCCTATGCCAGGCTCCATGGAGCATTGTCTCCCCGATATGACCTCATGAGCTGGCGCTTCCAAAGTGTGCCCACTTTCTAGCACAATTATAGGTGTAAAAAAAGCTGTCAGGTCCTGCATTGGCCCAAGGTCAAGAGAGCAGAGCCCAAGACCTTGACCACCCTGACCGATCACATCCCAGAACCTCCCACGAGGGACCCCATGACCCACTGCGGCCCCTCCTGGAGGGACAGGGACCCTTTCCTCTCACGTCTCTGTCTGAGGGAAGGCGAAGAGTCCATGGGTCCCTACTCTCCACAGCTCTGGGGAAAGGGAAACTGAGGTCCCTCAGAAATCCAAAAACTGGGGCCAGCAGGTAGCATAGTGGTTTAAGGCATTTGACTCCCACATGGCCAACCACAGTTCAAGTCCTGGACCCAGCAGCTTGAAATTCATGCTGGGCGGAGCATGTGTGTGTGCGTGCCCAAGATCCTGGAAAGAAAATGGAGGAGAAGGGATTGCAGCCTGGCCGTCCCCCTGGGGGGTGATTTCTCTCTCTCTTTATCTCTCTGGGGAGCACACATGCCCTACAGCAAAAAATCTCTCCAAAAAAAAAGAAAGAAAGAGAGAAAAAGAGAAAAGAAGGAAAGAAAAAGAAAAAAAAGAAGGAAGAAAAAGAAAGAAGAAAGGGAAGAAAGAAGGAAAGAGAGAAAAAGAAAAAGAAAAAGAAAAAGAAAAAGAAAAAAAGAAAGAAAGAAAGAAAGAAAGAAGAAAGAAAGAAAGAAAGAAAGAAAGAAAGAAAGAAAGAAAGAAAGAAAAAGAAAGAAAGAAGAAAGAAAGGAAGGAAGAAAAAGAAGAAAAGGAAGGAAGGAAGGGAGGAAGGAAGGAAGGGAGGAAGGGAATAAAGAAAGAAGTCAAGGATCGCCCCAGCGGCCTCTCCGGGGCCACATGGAGTGGGGATTCGAGTCCAGACCTCCCTCCAGCCTCCGAGCTCTCCTCTGCCCCTTAACCTTTCTGTGATCTTTAACCCCCACATGTCCATGTGGCATTTTCACGTCTGTTCTCTTCGGTTCTGCCCGGACATCCTCCGAGCGTCCAGGGCATGTCTTAGGTGCCTGTTACGTAGAGGGGAAACTGAGGCCTGGAGGGCGGGTGGGCCACCGGGAGGCCCTGACACGTGAGGTCTGCCCGCGCTGAGGCTCAGTTCGGGGGGTGGCTTCCACCCACAGCCCTGCCCCACTGGGGAAGCCTACCGTGGTCTGCGCCCGCACTCGACCCTCTGGAGTCTCGAGGATGTTTGTCGGAGCTTCAGCGGGACATCGGGGACACCGTTGTCTTCGGGGCTGGGGCCCCTCTGCTTCCCTCTCCTGCTGACCCTCCTCTGGACACGGCTCTCACCCCGCCCCCTCTTGACTTCCCGTCAGGAGCCGGTGGCCTTGAGGCTCCCCCCACTTCCACCCACCCCACCCCCTCTGCCCAGGGCTGGGGACAGGTGTGGAGGGCCCCCAGGCTCTGGCCGGACCCCACCTGGTACAGGTGAGAGCCGGGTCTTCAGGGTGGCCTGAGGGACAAGCGGCCAGGGCGTGGGGAGGGGGCGTCTGCCCGATGCCCCTGCCGGGTGCTGCGTGGCGTGGCCGCTGGGGCCTGAGTCACAGCTGACTGGGCCGCACCCAGCCCGGCTGGGTGACCCAGGCCAGCATAAGGCGATGACTGGACAACCCTCCACATGACCAGCCGGGGTCGGCCTTAGGTGTTTTGACTCAGACCTGCCATAGGCCGTGTGCACCCCGGCCATCCTCCCTCATCCCTGTCCCAGGGCTGCAGACACCCCTGGCCATAACGCCCCCAGAGCTGCCACTCCCTGGCCAGCACCCACCTCCGAGCCGTGGGAGCCACCTGTGCCGTCTGGCCTGCCCTCTGCCCAGGGCCCCACCTGCCCAACCCTCTCCCTCAGGGACCTTCGCCCCTCCCTGAGCCCGCCCAGCCCTGGGGACGCCCAGGAAGCAGGGAGCCAGCCTGAGCGCTGAGGGCCGCCTCGCTCTGCCTGGACTGTGACCCCTCCCTCAGTGCTGGAGAAGGGGTTCTGCGGGCACCCCACGTGCCACAGATATGGAAGGTGGGAGGCAGGGGGACAGGGACAAAGAAAGGAGACCCGTGAAAGAGGAGACTGAGAAGGAGGGAAGGGAAGAATGAAAGAGAACAGAGAGAAGGAAGCCATTGATCACACACCCGCTCGGGGACAGCGCTGCCATCGGCCTGTTTGTCTGGGAGATGGGCCAAGGGAGCCCCCCGTATGAAGAAGGGGGCTGAGGCTCAGCCAGGGGCAGGGGTGCAGGCTTATTCCCATTGCTTCACTCTAAAATACCTTCTCATCCCTCCCTAAAGAGAAGAAAAAAACATCACATTAAATCTGGTGTAAGGCCAGACGGTGGCCCCGCAGTAAATTGTGACACTCTGAGGCTGTTTCACATGGGAAGGTCCCAGGTTTGCATCTGGAGACCTCCCTGAGCAAACCTGTGTCCCACAGCCTGGGACTGGCTGAAGTCGGGGAGGGTCGTGGTGTTGGGACCCTGTTGGGAGTGACTCTGTGGGAGTGCTGTCTCTTTGTCTCTCTCTGTCTCTTTTCTTCATAGGAGAGATAAATAGACATAAAAATAAAAAAAAAATAAAAAAAATAAAAAAACTGATGGTCAGCAAAGGGTCTAAGACCATGGAGGCACCAGGAAGGCCCAGCTTCGCACCCTGGCTCTGCGGTCTCCAAGCCGTCAGTGTGCTTCATAAACCAGCAACAGCCGGGACCCCTCCATGCCTTGTTCCCACACTTCCCCACCCTACAGGCTTCCCGGTGCTAAGGCACGGCTGAGCTTTGTGTCTCCCCGACATTCCAGTGTGCAGAGCTGGGCGCAAAGGTACTAAGAGGAAACTTAATACCTTCATGGTGTTGGAAGGGGGCCTTTGGGTGTGAGCACTTGGTTAGGGTGGGCCCGAGGGACTCCTGGTGGGTGTACATGGAGAGGGAACAAACAAGGGACACGTGTGGGCACACACCCTCGCACTCCTGTCCTCTCATGATGCGACCTGCGTGGCCTCTTCCAACAGGAAGACCTTCGCCAGATGTGGCCCCTGGACCTCCAAACGTGAGCCAAATAAACCTCTCTTCTCTTGAGTTTCCCAGACTCGGGTATCTTCTGTTATTAGCCACGGAGCAGGAAAGGGACAGGCCCACAGGTAGGGGTGGGAGGTGGGTTTCACGCAGTGTTGACAGATTTTGTGACTGTCACCCTAGAAATCAGCTTTGGAAAAAGTCCAGCTTCAAATGGAGTCTGATGGCAGGACCACACCGGACCCCTCCTGCGCTGGTGCCAGCTCATCATTGTCAGGATTGCTGTGTCCCTTCACTCAAGTCAACGGAGGGAGCACACTTTAATCTGCAGGGACACGAGACATCGCCCGTTAGGGAGGAGGTGCCTGCGGGACATCAGCTTGCAAGGTTCTCCTCCTGGGGAATGCAGCCCCCCACTCGAGGTGGTGGGGGTACCTGAGCTGGCCCTCCAGGGTGGGAGGTTGTGAGCACCAGGGAGGGCAGACTGCACTGCCGAGTGTGGACTGAGTGCAGAGGTGACCCTGAGCGCTGGGGGCCTCGAACGCTGCAAGAAGTGGAACTAGTGCCCTGGCAGTGGGACAGGAGAGAGGCTCAGAGGCTGTGACAGCAGACAGGATCGTGGCGAGACGTTTAGACTGTGTCTCTGGAGCCAGGCCCTGGCTGACGATGGGGAGACAGGAGCAGAGTACGGAGAAACCCCAGGGTGAGTGGGAGCTGAGGTGAGCAGAGCCCACGGCAGGAGAAGGGGCAGGCTGGGATTCTGGAACTCCTGAGTGGGCGAACGGGTGGAGGACGGCGAGTGTGGCTTTGAGGAGCGCAGAGGACTCCCGGGAGTCGTTCCTCCTAGTGGGTCTGTAGATCTGGCCTGAGAGACATCAGATACAGATGCTGGTTGGGGTCACCTGCCACTGTGACTCATCAGGTGGCGTCATGGGGGTGATAAATTCTGATACACAGGGCACGTGGTACCCATCCTATCTGTGTCCCGTGGGGTAGCCAGCCTCGGCCAGCCCTGGCATGGTGAGTAAGGCGGCTGGATTCCACATGGCAACTTAGCAGTTTGAGTCCTGGATAGAGCAGCTTGAGAAACACTTGGTGTGTTTGCATGTGTGCCCCAAATCCCGAGATGACGGAGAAGTGGAGAAGTGATTCCAGTGTGACCGCGCCCCAAGGGCATGGGGGAGTGCTTTCTCACTTCCCCACTCTCTGTCTCTCTAGCGAGCACCTGTGCCCTTTGGCAAAGGAAAAAAAAAAAAAAAAAAGCCAGCCTCGGACCCACCTCCTGGGTAGGGAGGAGGTGAGGGGCACAGCGGGGGGTGGGACAGCCACGCTGGGCTTCCCAGCTCTCCCTCCACCGAACACCTCTGCCCTCTCTGAGGGGCAACCTCAGCACCAGCCACAGCGCTGGCTCCCCTTCCACCCCGGGAACCTGAGTGCACCCGGCTTTGCTTTCAGCGTCTACCGCCTCCGCCTACAGCTTCCCATCATCGAGGCCAAGGAAGTCCCCTCTCTCCCCTGCTGGGCGGGGCAGACGTGAGAGAGGCCAGCCCTGCTTTAGGGGGCCTGGAGCCAGGGAAGGCCAGGACTTCAGGTGTCGCCCGGCTGAGACAGTGCTGCGCTTGGACTGTGTCCCTTCCCAACCCCCAAGACATGGTTTGAGCCCCTGTAGTGGGATTAAGAGGGTGAAAACTAGACCTAGTAAGGGTGTCAAAGGCGGGTTCTTTGGTGGACGGCCCATGTAGCCTAGTGGTTGAGAGAGTCTGGATCCCACATAGCCGACTTTGGTTCAAGTCCCAGGCCTGGAGGTTTGAAGAATGCACCAGGAGTCCAGCAGGTGGCATGGTGATCAGGGTGCTGGATTCCCACATGGCCAGCCATGGTTCCAGTCCCAGACTCGGCAGCTTGCTTTCTCATTTTCCCTCTCTCTCTCTCTGGTGAATTAAAAGTAATGATAATAATGAGATAAGGTTGAGTAAATAATTTCTTTAACAAAAAGAGAAGAAAAACACACCAGGAGCATGTGTGTGGATGGCCCAACAGGATGGGACATGGAGAAGAGATTGCAGTGTGACCATGTCCCATGGGAGGGTGCTTTCTGCCTCCCTCCCGCTCTCTCTGGTGAGCACAAGTGCCCTCTTGCAGTTAAAAAAGAAGAAAGGGGGACCAGCAGATGGTGTAGTGGTTATGTCACTGGACTTCCATGTAGCCGACCACAGTTCAAGTCCCGGACCAGGCAACTTAAAACTCACACCAGGCGTCTGTGCGTACATGCCCAAGATCCCGAGAGGAGAATGGAGGAGAAGGGATCGCAGTGTGGCCATCCCCCTGGAAGGTGATTTCCCTCTTTCTTTCTCTCTGTCTCTCTGGCAAGCACACGTGCCTTATAGCAAAAACCTCTCTTAAAAAAAAAAAAAAAGAACAGATAAGTAGGGTCTTAGGGGTGGAGCCCAGACCTGGGCTGTGGTGGGTTTAAGAGAGGAAAGGAGCCCAGAACAGACACTGCTGGGCAGGTCTCACCTCGGGACGCGATCGAGACTCTGCAAGGCCCGCAGCAAACGTGGCCTGGACCTTGGGCCCCCAGCCGCGAGCTAAATGAGCCTCTGTTTTGCTGTCGTCTGTTTGTTTTTGCTGTGGAGTGCATATGCTCACCGGGGAGAGAGAGAGAGAGAAATCACCCCCCAGGGGGGATGCCCACACTACAGTCCCTTCTTCCCCACCCTCCTCTTAGAATTATGGGCATGTGCACACACGTGTCTAGCATGTTCTTGTCTTTTTTTTTTTTTTTTAAGAGGTTTTAGCTATAGGGCACGTGTACTCGCCAGACAGACAGAGAGAGCCAGAGAGAGAAAGCGAGAAATCACCCCCCGGGGGGGATAGCCACGCCTCAATCCCTTCTCCTCCATTCTCCTCTCGGGATCCTGGGCACACACGCACATGCACCCAGCGTGAATTTTAAGCTACCGGTCCAGGATGTGAACCGCAGTCGACTACGTGGGAGTCCAGCGACATAGCCATTATGCTAACTGCTGGTCCCTCCTTTTTAGTTTTTGATATAGGGCGGGTGCGCTTGACAGAGAGAGACACAGAGAGAGAGAGAAAAGGAAAGCGAGAAATCACACCCCCCCCCCACCCAGGGAAGATGGCCACACTGCAATCCCTTCCAGTCTCTCGGGATTGGGGGCATGCACACACATGCTTCTGGCGTGATTCTCAAATCACCTGGTCCAGGACTTGAACCATACAGCTTTTGATATAGGGCGGGTGCGCTTGACAGAGAGAGACACAGAGAGAGAGAGAAAAGGAAAGCGAGAAATCACACCCCCCCCCCACCCAGGGAAGATGGCCACACTGCAATCCCTTCCAGTCTCTCGGGATTGGGGGCATGCACACACATGCTTCTGGCGTGATTCTCAAATCACCTGGTCCAGGACTTGAACCATACAGCTGGCCATATGGGATCCAGTCACCTTAACCATGATGCCACTGGCTGCCCCTGAACCTCTGTTTGTATACATCACCCAGTTTGGGTTTTCTTTTGTGCTCCTCGGTGCCTCGGCTTCCGCCGTTGGCAGACTGCCCTGCCTTCTCGTTCGGGCTGGGAGGCTGGGGCCCATCTGCCCTGCTTCCACTGAGTTCCACACGCTCTGGGTGCTGGACAGAGTGGGGCAGAGCAGGCGTGGTCCCCGTCCTCGGCAAGGCCAGCACAGGAGGGAAGGCACTCATGTCACACTGAGCGAGTCCCCAACACTGGACAGTTGTGAGACAACTTAAAACCAAGTTGCTCGACCCAGACAAGGGGGAAGCTGAGGATGCACCCTGGAGCAGAGATCTGAGGAAGAGAGATATTTACCAAAAGGACAGGGGACAGCGTTCCAGCAGGGAACAGCAGAAATGGAAACTTTGCAGCAGGAAGGAGCCCCAGGGGATTTGGAAGCCAGAAGGCGACCATGTGGCAGGAGCTTTATGTATTTATTCCACGGTGGGCAAGGGGGAGCTCAGGGGAGAGGAGCAAAGGGCCCTCACTAGGCCCTTGGTAGTAGTCTGGAAGGCACTGGCAGCTACCAGGGTGGACGGCTAGTTGAGAGTCGGGGGCCGGCTTTCTGGCCTCAGCCGTGCCTGAAGCCACTCTGTGTTCTTGAGAAAGGTACTTCCACTCTCTGGGCCTTTCTGAGAAACCACAATGCCCTCCCTTGATACTCCGATCCTTGAAGCCCAGAGCCTTTGCCCTAGCTGTTCCCGCCACCCCTCTGCAAGTCATCCAGACCACAGCACGGACGTCACCTCTCCAGACACTGCTCTGGCCACTCGCATGGCCTGACTGTCCCGCCGTCTGTTACGTCACCCGCTTCATCTTTGCCGAGCTCACACTGCAATCTCAGACGCTCCCGTTGGTTCTTTTGCCTGTCTGTGGTCCGTCTGCCCCTTGCCCCAGAACTCTGTGCTTTTGGGGACTCATGCAAGTGTCAGAGGCGGGGGGACCAGGAAGATGCTCCACCCTGGAGTCCATCGGGCCTGAATTCACACTGTGTCCGTCCTGTTCATTGGCTCCAAGGATGTGGCAGGCCAAACTGTCTGAGCCTCGGGCTTCTCACTCACACATCAAGTCTGTCTGTTGCAGGGAACCCAGGACAAGCCCTCCTCCACCCAACTGTCAGGACCTGTTCGCATCCTGTGTCAGCTCCAGCTGGCCTCTCAGGAAGGGGGTTAGCCAGAGACAGCCACGTCAAGTTCATCTGCTTCTGGAAGGCCTCACCTGTGTTCCCCTGTGGGCATCACCCCGAGGAGGGGTTCTGCGAGTTCAGCGGGGGATTCAGTTTTCTGGAGATGAGATGGAAGCCCTAGCCCCTTGGGTCCCTTTAGGAAACAGTCCTTTTTTCTTTTTCTTTTCCTTTTTTTCTTCCCCCGAGAGCTTTTTGTTATAGGGTGCATGCGCTCACCAGAGAGACAGAGACAGAAAGTGAGAACTCACCAACCAGGGGGGGGGATAGCCACACCCCAATCCTTTCTCCTCCAGTCTCAGGATTTTGGGTGCGCACGCGTGCACGCCCCACATGAATTTGAAGTCACTGGGTCTGGGACTCCAACCATGGTCGACCATGTGGGAGTCCAGAGATGTAACCATTACACCAGCTGCTGGTCCCAGGAAGTAGCTCTTTTTTTTTTTTTTTTTTTTTTTTTTTTTTTATGTATTTATTCCACGAGGGCAAGAGACAGAGATACAAAGGCCCAACACGCCTCGATGCCTGGATCCACAGGGCCCCAGCCAGCCCAGATCACAGATGGACGGATGTCTAGTGTGCTCAGGGAGGGCTCTGGATGCAAACTGGCAACCCTCCCCCCATGCAGGCCACCCACGCAGTGTTACACTGTACATGGGCCACGTCTGGTCCCCAGCAATCTTTTTTTTTTTTTTTTTTTTTAAGGTTTTTACCATAGGGCACATGAGTTTGCTGGAGAGAGAAACGGAGAGAGGGAAAACAAGAAATCACTCCCTGGGGGGATGGCCACGCTGCGATCCCTCCTCTTCCACTCTCCTCTTGGGTTCTGAGGATGCACATATGGGTGCGCGGTATGATTTTTCAAGCCACCGAGTCCGAGACTCAAACCGCGGCCCATCATGTGGGAGTCCAGTGCCTTAACCACCACGCCACCTGCTGGCTCCAGCAACCAGTTGTAAGCACATACTAGGTCACAGGGCCCATCCAAGGCAGAATTGGTTATTCTCTTGTTCATTTTTCAGATGAGGCAACAAAGGCTCCCAGACGTTAATTTGCCCAAAATCATCCAGACACAGCGTGGGGCTGAGGCAGGGTTTTGAACCCTGTCGGGTCTAACTGAATAGAAAGCCACGTCCCGCCTGTCCGAGGTCCCCTGCTGCTCTGGGCCCACCGTTCCCTTCTGGGCATGCTCAGTTCCTGCTGCACATCGGCCGGTCTGCTGCCAGGTGTGTGGCTGAGAGTGTTCATCTGTTCACTGCACAAACAGGGCACCTACTGTGTTCCAGGCACCGAACGTGTCCATCCATGTCCCTCCAGGGTGACTCATGAGCATGTACAAATGACATGGCACACTGACACATACCTGGGCTTACGTGTGCACGGACATGCCTGCAGAGACACACAGGCAGGTGTCTGTGCATGCACCGCACACACACACACACCCCCGAATACTTACAGCTGTAAACATCCATTAAGATCCCGGCTTCAAGGGCCAGCAGGTGGCATGGTAGTTAAGGCACTGGACTCCCACATGGCCAACCACAGAGTCCCAGACCTGGCAGCTTGCTTTTTCACTTTCCTCTCTCTGTCTCTCTGTCTCTCTGTCTCTCTCTCTCTCTCCCTGGTGAGTGCATGTGCCTTACAGCAAATTAATAGTAATAAATAAAAATAAATAAATAATTATTAAAAGAAATGATACTGGCTTCAAAACAAAGCAAGAAGAGCCAGCCCCATAGCCTAGTGGTTAGGGGAGCCAGATCCCATATGTCTACCTGTGGTTCGAATCCCAGCCTCCCTCCTCCACTCCTGAGTGGCTTGAAAAATGTGCCAGGTGCGTGCGTGTGCACCAGCCCAAAATTCTGACGAGACAGAGGGACAAAGAAGAGGGCATCGCAGTGTGACCAGGCCCCACTGGGGGTGTTTCCCGCTTCCTTTCTGTTTCTCTGTCTCTCTCGCTGGCACGCATATCCTCTGCAATTCAATAAAAATAGAGACAAGGCAAGAAAAGTGCACGCACAACACAAACCGGCACACACACCCATGCAAGCCCACCAGCAGCCCACTGTCCGGCCCCCTCGCTCCGCATGCTCCCACACCCTGATACCGCTCGCCCCCCATGGCTCAGTCACCGCGAACCCACGGCCTGTGTCTGAGAAGCCCCCACAGGCCGAACCCCCTGTGGGCAGGGGACGTCCCCTCCTGGACAGAGCCAGGACCTGCAGCCCACCCCCAGGGCTTTGTAACCTGGAGAGCCACCCCAGGAGGCCAGACACCCTCCCCCCTCAAATCCTCTCTCCCAAGACAGCAAACACACGGGAGTTTTAGAAACCAGGCAAATTTTAAATATATGTTAGCACAATATTAACATTAAATACACATCATAAATAAGCCTTATAAATATAAAACTGATAAAAATAGATAAATTAGTCACACGGCTTCAAGGAAGTGGCCCAGCAGCTTCTGAGACTCCCCTCCAGGAAGGCAAGGGTTTCAACATGAGACAATTCCAAGAATCACCACCAGGGGGAGCAGCTAGCCCCGAGCACCCAAGACTGGGCCCTTCCAGGTGCTGGGTCTACTAGAACTGCCTGCACCCACCCTGTGGCCATCCACACCGCAATTCCTGACTTAGCATGTGATGTCCACCCTGAGTCACGGAGAAAACTGAGGTCCAGAGAGGTAAAGCGACTTAGGTCACACAGCAAGAGAGGGCGAGGCTGGAACCTGAGTACTGTTTTCTGGAGCCCGGAGCGGTGCTCCTAGGACACCCTGCCTCGTTACAGCTGCCGAAAGTGAGGTCTCCCAGACGTCCAGGTGTCTGGCTGAAGTGTGAGGAGGCATGGCAGGCCAGCTCAGGCACTGACCTCCCCCTGGGAGCCATGCTGCGGCTGAAAGGAGGAAGTCTGGGGACAGCAGCCCTGCCAGGAGAAGGGCCACAGGCCTCGGGGAGTAAAGCAGGGGGACAGTCAGCCCAGCCATGAGTCAGCCTGTGTCATCAGACCCCTGAATCAATGGAAAGTGGGCCCCGCGTGGCCTGACCCAGCCACCCCAGGACTGGGGAACTCAGCCGGGGGGCCGGACAGCTGACTCTGCCCCCCAGCCCGGCCCTCCTCCTACGCCTTAAAGTGCACTTCTGAGTGGGAGGAAGGAGGGGGCAGCTTTGGAGCCCCGGGAAGCAAACGATCCACAGAGCACCCGCTGCATCCTCCCCCTGTCAAGGGTGCCCCTAAAGCTACCGGGTCAGTCGCACCCTGAACACAAGTCTCTTGCCCCTCCTGGAGGGTCGGTGCTTGCGTTCCAAGTCGAGCTGCGGCCAGACGGGGCTCTGCCTCCGCCTCCGGCTGGGGCTGCTGCCCCACTGACTGAAGACTCGCCTGGCCGAGTGCAAGAAGCGATGGTAGCCGTGCAGAAACCTGCAGCCCTGGAGCTTGCTCTGAAAGGCGTCCGGGGCTGGGGTGGGTGGCGGTGAGGTCCCTGGGGCAGCCGTGGTGGGGGCCAGCTCCGAAGCGCCGCCGAGCAGCTGGGACATGCAGTAGATGTTGTTCTTGAGCCCGAGGATGTTCCACCTCGCCACCCCCAGCTCCTCCAAGTCCTGCGTCTCCGGGAGGTGCTGCTGTAAGACGGCTAGTCTGTGCAGGACGCGCTGGAGCGTGGAGCTGAGCATGCGCAGGAAGTCCCGCCGGCCCAGCGTCCTCAGGGCGTTGTCGCTGGGGAAGGCCCCTGGGCGCTCCGTGCAGTGCTCACTGAATCTGAGTTTGTCCAGACCTTCCAAGCGCATCTGGAGGAACCGGGAAGCCAGGGCGTGAGCGTTGGAGCCCCCCACGAGCGTGCACACACAAACACACACACAGCTTGCTCCCCCGGGGCCTGCAATGCCAGACCTCACCACACTGGCGGATTCTCCCACAGCACAGAAACTGAGGCCCGGGAGGCGGGAGGGCCGGTGGTCACTATGGGCAGCTGGGGGCTGGTGGGGGCATTGCACAGGCGGTGACCACGCTGCAGGGATGTCAGTGAGGACCGGGGACCTTCAGGAGGGCTGGTCTCAGCTCAGGGCCGTGTGCGGGGCTTAGATCAAGGCCCTGGGGGCTGCAGTGGCCCTGTGCCCATCGCAAGACCCAGGGCTGCAGTGGTCCTGTGCCCATCACAAGACCCAGGGCTGCAGTGGCCCTGTCCGATCGCAAGACCCAGGGCTGCAGTGGTCCTGTGTCCATCGCAAGACCCAGGGCTGCAGTGGCCCTGTGCCCATCGCAAGACCCAGGGCTGCAGATGCTGTGTGGTCTCAGCTTCCCGGGTTAGGGTGCAGTTGCGCCAGGACTCAGCTTCCCTGCTGTCGGGTACTGAGTCAGGCATGGGCCTCCTCCCTGTAGCTCACACACACACCCACCCCCTTCTCTGAGACAGAGAAGCCCCAGCGAGGTGCTCACAAAGGGGTCCAGGAGCGTGCTGGTGTCCTGCATGAGGGCCATCTGCTGCTGAAGCTGGCCAAGGAGTGCCTGGTAGTCGCCCGAGCAGCCACCCATGGCCGCCACACTCAGGAACAGCAGTCCGAGGACCAGGCCTGGCAGAGAAGGGGTGGACGATGTTACTGACTTGCCGAGAAAGTAGCAGGTAGGAGCTTGGGGAGGGGGCTCGACAGGCCTCGGGGGACACACCTTGGCACCCCGGGCTTCACCAGTGGAGGGCGGGGGCTGGGCACAGGAA